TCAAAATTTCCAGACTATTAAGAGAGGACCTAAGAAATAAAAGGGTAACCATGCATATCGGTCAAAGCATATTGTATGGATTCTGAACAGCATTTATTAAAACGTACACCACAGCACCATTTTATTTATAAAAAACAGTTCAAAATGATGTGCACATGAAGGTCCCCATTAGATGGAAAGAAAGTACTAAGTTAAGATATAATCAAGTTCCAGTTCCAGAATAACAGAAATGATTGTTTTGAAGAATTGTCTACATTAAAATGGCTGTCATATGGCCATCTTGAATCAGACTGCATATTTATTCAAAGATGTATAATATAATTTTTGATTTATGTGTTATTTGAGATGTGCTTCTAACACTAATATTATTTCTAGAACTTTACTAGACTGTCCATGAAGGAAAATTTTGGTTTCTTCTGACCACTATCATTTAATGAATAAGTATCATACCAAACATTTTGTGTTCCCAAGACTGTTATTTAAATGCTTTTTTGACTTGGATGTGGCTGACTATTTTTCTCTTCGTTATTTGTGTCTGTAACAATTTCTTTCAGGGAGATTACCGTAGCTGAATAATATTTCACTGTTCATTTCAGAGATATTGCCGTAAAAGTACGATACAGGTCACACGGTGAGAAATTGGACACTTGTCCATGGTATGTATAGCATCTAGACGCGTTATCGTCAATTGTACCTTTTGACAGTTTACCTTTCAGCGACAGCGACACCTCCGATAAAAGACTGTACCCCTCTCGCATCCGTAATGAATTGTCTCTGCATATGGAGCCAATGGTTTACGGACGTCGACAAACCAGCATGACTGGGTTCACTTACCTTGGGTGTTGTCAGCATACAACTTGTGACATTCTTTCAAAATTCTCTCATTCACGGTGACAGTAGCCGAGTCTGCTGGGTTAGCAGAAGCTCGTTGTCTCACTTTTCCTGACATATTGTATTTTTTTCTCAGAACAATTCACACTGCCAACGTTGCAGAAGTTCGCCGGTATTCAAATGAATGACAACTTCCGGGTCAAAGTTCACGGGTGAACGTTGCATGGTGGGAATAACCTCTTCGTGACCACTCGAATGTCAACTTTGATCGCGCCCTGGGGAAAGATTTGGTAAAAAGTACATTGAACTGACTTCCCAGGTTGGGGGATTTCACAATACTCTGCCTAAACTATTCCACCGCACCATTCCTACTAATAATCTATCTATATATATTATGTATACTAGTATACTACTATTATGTGGCAGCGTGTATATTTCTGAAATGAACATGTGCCTGCTACTAATACTACTAAAGATTTGTAAATTCTTGCTGATACAAAACAGGCTTCATCACTGTGTTAGATACGAGGGTTAGTTGAAAATTGCATTTTGATATTTTCTTCAAAGTTATAGGTTTGTCACCTTTATTTCACAGTTGAAAAATTGTTTTTCTCGGTCAGCGTCAGTTGCAATGAGATCCTGGTTGGCTTATTTTTTCACAAACAAAACCATTCTTGCAGCAAAATAATTGTAACATCAAAAAATAATTAAAATAAATAATAATTAGAGTAATTATATATATAAATATAAATAAGCCAACCAGCATCTTATATTTTAATCAGATTGGACTAATTTATGCATCAGTTTGTATGACAGTGTCTACGCGCCACGTTTCACAGTAAATATGCCACGGGTTTCAGGGTGTTGATATGGTCGAGCACTTTTAACCAATCAGTCTAGCATTTACAAATCACGTGTGATCTTTGGCCCTTGGAAGGTGGCTGTTCCCGCTCGTGGAAGGAGGGCCTAAAAACTAGGACAAATTAGTAAATAGAATATTTTAATACCATCTTTTTTTGAGATATTCTTAGACTTGCGGTTTTTAAATAAAATAAATCCAGTTAGATTTCGAAAAAAGCGCCTTGACCGAGTAACAAATTTACGTCTATTTTGCAATTTATATTTACTAACATATGAATATAATTAAATAAGCCGGTGTATCTTTTTTCAATGAATACATCAAATGTATTGGTAAGGGATGCAACAATTATGAATAAATAATTAAACAGCAAATGGTAAATTATCGAAACAACAACTATTATACTAAACGACAGAAAAATCAAGAAATTAAGTTTGGAAGTTGAAAACATATATATAAATTATACTGGAAAGGGGAAATAGGGACTGGAACAAAATACATTGTAACAATAACAGAAGAAATAAACTCAGAACGTACGAAAAAATTCAAAAATGAATATACTTTAGAAAATTATGTGATCAAAATAAAGAATATTGAACTACGAGAATGTCTGAGTAGGTTTCGTCCGAGCAGCCATAAACTAAACATTGAAACAGGAAGGTATACCAAACCAAAAACCGAAATAGAAACAATCTGGGAATCGTTTTTAAATAACAAAGTAGAAGATGAATACCATTTTATTATTAAATGCCCCTTTCACGAACAATCTCGAAAAGCACTACTAGTATTTGAAAAGACTACTAAACATATTATAACCTTCATGAATATGAGTGACTACAATATTTTTTTAAAATTAATGGGTGATACAAAGCTGAATGTACAAATACCAGTTTCCCAATTTATTAAAAATAACACGAATCTTAGACAGGAACACCTTCTGGCAAATTAACATAACTATTTTCTCCTTTTCTCCTTTCTCTTTTCGAATCCATGTTTCATTGATTTACTGTATATTGCTTATTTTTTTTTATTTTTTTTTATTATTATCACCATTTTTTAATTGTATTTTTTTAAAAACAATTGTTGTGCTTTTGTAGTGGTTAGTGTAACCATTCTAATTCCTTCTAAGGGATTTTAAGTTTCAATAAACGAATTTTGCAATATGCATATGTATATGCACAGTTTGTTTTTCATATGCATGTTGTTCATGTGCATATTAGAAGTTAGCACTGAATTTACCAATTGCCCTGACTTGGAAAGAGATTGTTGGAACTAGCATGTACACAGTATTACTTATTGGTCTAAGACAACATACTCTGACATAGAGTGTTATAATTACATGGTTACCATATCAAACTAGTAACTTTGAGACAAAATCAGTCGAGCTGCCTTGCTGAGTTTGAGTTTTTTAAAATATATATGCCGCAAGTTGTAATTACACAGAAGTGTTTTCTGTGAGAATTGTTAACTTCCCAACGATGTGCAGCTCTTGTAGTATGAATAGAATCTTTATTGCTATCGTACCCCATATTTGAGGTTTTGATGAAAAGTACAATAAAGTAATACAATCTGAAAAACATGTAAAAAATAATTAACATTAAAAAAATAAAAATCAAGCAAGACGCTCAAATTTCTAAACATAAAAAAACTGGTTAATTTGTATTTTTTGAAGCAGCTGGTTTAAGCATTTCACTTTTAATTGAATTTTCTCGTATATTAAAACAGTTATAGATATATTAATATCGTTATATTAATGAATAACTGTTCATTGTTTTTGTTGTCATGAATGTTGTTGTGTCTTTTGAACAAACCTTCTCTGTCTTTAGCGTATAGCTGACATGACAACAAAAAGTGATGCTCATTTTCAATTTCTTTAATTTCACAAACTGAACATTTTCTATCAGAGTTTAGTACATTATTGTACCTTCCCATTTCAATCTGTAAGCGATGGGCACTTATCCTCAGTTTGGTCATTGCAGAGCGATATGGCGTAAGTATTTTTCTAATGAAAATACTGTTTTTAATTTTCTGTACGTTCTCAGTTTATTTTTATGTGAGTTGTATCCACCTGCTGCTAGAACTCTGAGACGTAAACAGTTGCAGTACAATTTAATTGCGTCGAAAATGAACAATACTCCTTAATCTGAGGGGGTCTCTTCATGTAGCCCCAGTAGAATCATGTATAAGCAGGTGTGTTTTCTTACTACAGTTACATTATTTGATAACCTGTGGCTGACTTATTTAACCAGTTTTTGAATTGGGACTGGTGACATAATTTGAATAGGGCTGGGTGTCGCATACGACTTATTTACCACTTCCGAGTCACTGAAAATGTTCTAGAACCGTACTGTGTCTGGGTGGAATATTCTAGATTTTTTTTAGAAACTGGTTGAATAGGTAATAGAACACTGTAGGAGGCAATAGAAGGTAATGGCACATTCTAGAAATTTGTAGTAAGTTCCAGACTCATTATGTATGCTGATGTAATGGTCTATTTATAGACAGTGGTAGTATATATATCGGAGAGTTGTTCAGCACTGAGATCAGATCGGAGATCTCGTTGAATTGTATTGGAGTTTAAGTATCTAGTCATTGGAATAGTGGAGTTTTACTGCGTTATTGTACTTGATGTTTGCAGAGTATAATAATACCAGTACCAGTTGAAACCTCATCTGTTGGCTCCATGTTCGTATTTTATCATCGCCGCCAGGGAAGTCTTTCTGTTACTGTTGCCATTTTGGTATTTGAACCATAACACCTGTACTATACCAATTACGGTAATATTACGTTGCGTGTGACACTGGGTCATATGTTATTCTCAGCCAATCAGCCTAAGTTCTAGTAACGTATAAGGTAACTGCGTTTACCGCTGGTGTGTTTTTTCGAATTACTAGTAGTCTAAACTTTACAACAGCCTGCTATACTCCCACTTTTCCCACCTCAAGCTGATACTGATAGTTTATGCTTTATTTTTTCTGTACGGTGTAGATGATTGACTTTAGTAGTGTTCGTGTACAGCTTCTTAGCTCGGTCTAAGCGGACAAATACATAAGTCCGTGCTAAGAAAACGTGAACACTTAGCATATGCTAAGAATCGCTAACCATTTTAAGACCCGGTAAAGGTGCTTAGCATGGGTCAGTGCACAGGCTAACGAAATGTGCGCGAACGCTTAGTTCAGGCTAAGGATCGCTAACTACGGATTAAATCTGGCCGATTATAGACCCGGTCATAGTTAAACGACTGAAGATGTTTGTATATACAAAAAAAAAAAAAAAAAAAAAACGACTAGCAAATTATAGTAGAAAAGATAATGGAAAAATAAATTGGACTTAGTTTACTAACGCCTGTTCATGACATTATCTTGAGGTAGCTGACTTTATTGTTTTTATTTTGTTTTCTCTGGTTTTGAAACAGATGTTTGGGGAGCAAGATTTTGCTGACTTTTGCTCACCGAAGTCTCTCACGCAATGTTGTCTGAAATCATAGAAGGACTGTGCTGAAACGGAGTATTACCGTGTTGCGTTTTTGATTACCGTTTACCCCCCCCCCCCCACACAGATCGTGTGGTCTCTTGGTTTCAGTTTGAAACTACAGCATACTAGAGCGCCCTCAACGACAACCTATATTTTGATTCCCACTTTCATCATGGCGTCCTTAGTTGCCGATTACGGAACCTCGTCTGGAGACTCCTGGTCAGACAGCGATACTGGTGACACAAATAATCAGTACGTATCACAGCATTCTCTTTAACGTTTTTCCAACTGCTATGTGAAATTAAGTGCCTCGTGCAAATCAGCAAATGTACGGTCGAATCAGTCAGTGCATGATATCATTGAGTGGAGCACTAGAGAATGCCTACTTGTGTTGTTCGGAGACACACCTTGGATCCCGGGACTTGGACACTACTTCATGGCTATATGTAGGGCATCTAGGTCCAGTTCAGCTTTCCGAGAGGTGTATCAATTTCCGCAGGTGTTCACTGTACCCGTAGAGGGCGATACTTTCCTCGGTAGTTATGTGCATTCCAGAGCCATATACAGTGTTAGTGTGGACATATTGTCTGAAATAAAGCTCATTAAAAAAAAATAAAAAAATACATGAATATTTGCGGATTAAGGATAAAATATTTGTCCTTGTTTAGAATTTTAGCTAGGTGATAATAATTTAAATCCAAGAGGAATCTTTGGTTTACTTTTCAAACTTGGTAATTCAAAACCTAAAAAAAAAGGTAGACTAGAAATTAAGAATTCTTTTTAAAGCAACATAGCTGTGATTTTGGACATTTTTGTGTGTTTTTTGTTTTAAATATAACACCATAAAGATGACCAAATTTTACTGAAATATCATATTAGACACATTTGCATGGGCAAACTGAGGCTAATATCACATGAAATGTGGTGTAGAAATTAAGGGTTGAGTAGTCGCCATTTTGTTGAAATCAGTCACGTGGTGAGAACTGTACAAAATCATGATGCATGATACACACTGTTATGAAAAATGACCCGTGAGAGGCTGTCAGAGAAAGAGAGACGGGTGCATCATTCAACTGTCATCTTGTACAGTAATCCTTGAGCTTTGCTTGAAAAAATTGGATTTCAGTAGATGGAGAACTGGATGGATCACCACTGCCATCTTTTTTCACTTGCAAGTGATGTAATGTACTACACCATCAGTTTATAGCATATATGTCATGTCCGCATTTTGGCAATGGCTGTTAAAAGTTAACATTCATGACACAAGAAATGTTTTAACAATTGGAGAAAAAAGATCAATAGTTAGCAATAGCAATAGAAAAAAAGATCAATAACTTTTATCACTTTAAATCAATTCCACAGCAGCACAAGTTCCCTATCACATGAACTTTAACTAAAATAAAACCCCAAACTATGAATTGGTCAGTTTGATTGAAGGTAAAATAAAGAATTATTTACTCTGGTACAGATAGTGAAAGTGATTTTATTTCTTAATACATGTTTTTGTTTATCATTTCCCAGAAACCCAGTGATACATGCGAGAGAAGAGGATGGTGTGAATTTATTGACTAATGTTAACAGCAGTAGTAGTGATGCTGATGATGATGGGGATACAACAGAATTATTTACCAGGACTGAGGAGCCACCAAAATTACCATTACCAGACATTTTTATTGGATCATCAACGACTTCACTGCAAGGAAGCTCATCAGTATTTGCGAATCCATTTAAGGACAAAGAAGATGCCAAGGCTTCCATATTGGAACAACATGTAAAGATGAGTACAGTTGTTGAGAAAAATGAAGCAAAAAACAAAAAAACATGCTACAAATTTTTAAAAGGGAAATGTCGGTTTGGTGATAAGTGCAAATTTTCGCATGGTTCTAAACCTCCTCCAAATGCACCCAATGTGGGTGTGCGACATGCTGTGCAAGTTCACGGCACTCAAGACTTTAATACTAATGAAGAAGAGGTCGATGAAGATACACAAACATTGAAAAGAAAACACAAATCAGGAATCGGTAACACGTTAGTTCCACCAAAGAAGGCTATGAAAGCCTATCAGAAACAACAGATAGTTGAAAAGCCCTGGATGAAAGAAAGATGAGTCCCTTGCCCTCCTCACGAAACCAAATCTAGTTGTTGGTAGTGTTAAACATCATGTACATGTATATACAAAATTTGGAGGTATATTATAATCTATTCAAAACGTATTGGTTTTGTTTCACGCTGTCACTGTGTTATATATAGTTGATAGCAGTATTATCTGGTAGTGTGTATTATTGTTTTTGTACTATGGTTATATCAACGCTCTGATTGAATGTTGGCTAATTTTATGGTCATGCATGGATTACAAAATTGAGGTCAAGTAGACGCTGATGTTAAGTCTCATATTTTAAAATTGCGATACTTTTGTTTTGGGAAATCAGCAGAAGTTTTCAGTCATAACAAACGTCTGGATGACATTAAATGTACAAAAGTGTCTACAAAACCCACAAAGTTGTATTGAATGTTAACTGCTTCACTAAGCTCACTCACTGTATTCTGTTTTCTGTACAGAATCATTCAGTGTGTGTGCTAAATAATTCTTAAAAACATACATTATATGTTTCTATTTGTTGAGTACTACCTACTTTGAAACCTGATCACTTTCTTTTTTTTATCATATCACTAACATTTGAAAATAAATTTTTTTGGAGTAGCACAAAATCAGTTCTGTTTATTAATCTGTCAGATTATTAATATTATCTTTTACTGCCAAATGTTTGCTAAATGCTGAAACTGATAATTTATGGCTGCCATCACCAAGATCTGGTAATTTGTTACTGCCATTACCTGGATCTGTTATATTGTGGCTTCATCACCCAGATGTGGTAATTTGTGGTTGCCATCATCAGGATCTGGTAATTTGTGGCTTCATCACCAGGATCTGTTCATTTGTGGTTACCATCACTGGAATCTGGAAATTTGTGTCTGCCATCACCAGGATCTAGTAATTTATGGCTGCCATCACCAGGATCTATTATATTGTGGCTTCATCACCAGGATCTGTTAATTTGTGGCTACCATCACCAGGATCTATTATATTGTGGCTTCATCACCAGGATCTGTTAATTTGTGGCTGCCATCACCTGGATGTGGTAATTTGTGGCTGCTATCACCAGGATCTAGTAATTTGTGGCTACCATCACCAGGATTTGTTATATTGGGACTTCATTGCCAGGATCTGTTAATTTGTGGCTGCCATCACCTGGATGTGGTAATTTGTGGCAGCCATCACCAGGATCTAGTAATTTATAGCTGCCATCACCAGGATTTGTTATATTGGGGCTTCATAACCAGGATCTGTTAATTCGTGGCTGCCATCACCTGGATGTGGTAATTTGTGGCTGCTATCGCTGGGATCTAGTAATTTGTGGCTACCATCACCAGGATTTGTTATATTGGGGCTTCATTGCCAGGATCTGGTAATTTGTGGCTGCCATTACTGGGATCTGGTAATTTGATGTCATTAGCGAGGGATTACTTGTTATGGTAGTAGTAATTTTTGGTATAAATTCAGGGGTTCTTTCAGACAGGGGGACAGGTGCACAGCGCCCTTATACCCTAGTTATGACCAGTTATATCCAATTTAAAGTGTTGTTTCTAGAAAAAAAACATGTAAATTAGTAAAAATGTTGGATTGCAACATTTATGTGTTTGGTTCAAATTATTATTTAAATTAGGAAACTTTAAATAAATAATTTTGTTAAGTATTCAATAATTTTTGTGTACCATTTTTAATACTTTTGTTTTTTTGTTGTAGTTATTGACTTGTGTACAAATCAATAATTTCCTGTTATCCTATTCCCACTTTATAAAGATAGAGTATATGTATGTATCTTGAACCCCAAACCTTGACAAAAATACATCTTAAAGATATGGAAAAATTTGATTTCTAATTTCTGCATGTATTATTAAAATCCCATGCAATAGATAGCTTTCAAGGTTAGAAATGTAGTGAGCATATGTGTATGCAATATTCTACCCACCAGAATTAAAAACAAAACATTATTCAAATTATAGTTTCAAAAGATCATCATTACATAAATTTTTTTTGTCTCAATTGCCATTTTGTTTTTTTTATAATAAAGCTTTGAGAATTCAAATTTGAATCAGATGATATTTGTGTGTCATGCACCATGTTCTTACTAGAAAATATTACTGCTATGTCCACATAGATTGTGCTGAGTAATTAAAAGGAAGATAATGATCTTATAGTTTTGCATTCACACAGGTGGTTATTACAAAAGTTGTAAATTTGGTGACCACTGAGTAATGCTCACACTGGTACTAACTTGTGGATAGGTAATTTTTCAGTTTATCAGATATTTATGTCTTGTTTGTAGTTTATTAATTGAGTAATAATAGTTAATAATTCTGGGACATGTAAATTGTCACAATATTATGCATACATATAAACTTGCTTTTCTTTTTCTAGCTCTCTGTTGGAACTAATCCGCACAATGTATAAAGGTCATTGACTATCTAAACTACCCTGAAATTTGACGCATATTGCAAGTGTCTAGTTTTAAATAAATTACAGTTGACTATTGCACTTGCATTTACCAATGCAGTTACAAAACCCTTTACACCTGCGTAACATGTTCATACCTGTTTTTAAGTCTGCGTGTGTATCATGTAATAGTTATGACAGTACTGATATCCCACTTCCAAGGAGGCATGAATTTATGCTGGTGTAATATGTTCATATTTGCTTTTCTCTAATGCTGCTGTAAGTTACGTCAGTATAGAGGGACACAAAAAACTGATGTGAACATAGAATATAGAAAATAAAATGTTGCCATTTGTCAAGGTTGCCTCCGCAGACATGAGAGATGATCTTCACAAATAGGAGAGAGATCATTTAAATCCTAAGCAAGATTACCTCCACAGACAGGAGAGTGATCATTTAAACCCCAAGCAAGATTACCTCTACAGATAGGAGAGAGATCATTTAAATCCCAAGCCAGATTACCTCCATAGACAGGAGAGAGATCATTTAAATCCTAAGCAAGATTACCTCCACAGACAGGAGAGAGATCATTTAAATCCTATGCAAGATTATCCCTACAGAAAGGAGAGATGATCTTCTAAATATCAAACAAGATTACCTCCACAGATAGAAGGGAGATCATTTAAATCCTGAGCAAGATTACCCCTACAGATGGGAGAGAGATCATTTACATCCCAAGCAAGATTACCTCTTCAAATAGAAGAGAGATCATTTAAATCCTGAACAAGATTAACTTCAAAGATAGGAGAGAGATCCTAAGCAAGGTCACCTCCACAGATAGGAGAGAGATCATTTACATCCCAAGCAAGATTACCTCCAAAGATAGGAGAGAGATCATTTAAATCCTAAGCAAGATTAACTCCAAAGATAGGAGAGAGATCATTTAAATCCTAAGCAAGATTGCCTTCACAGATAGAAGAGAGATCATTTAAATCCTGAACAAGATTAACTTCAAAGATAGGAGAGAGATCCTAAGCAAGGTCACCTCCACAGATAGGAGAGAGATCATTTACATCCCAAGCAAGATTACCTCCAAAGATAGGAGAGAGATCATTTAAATCCTAAGCAAGATTAACTCCAAAGATAGGAGAGAGATCATATAAATCCTAAGCAAGATTGCCTTCACAGATAGAAGAGAGGTCATTTAAATTTCAAGCAAGATTACCTCCACAGACAGAAGAGAGATTATTTACATCCCAAGCCAGATTACCTCCACAGACAGGAGAGAGATTATTTAAATCCAAAGCAAGATTACCTCCATAGACAGGAGAGACGATCTTCTAAATACCAAACAAGATTACCTCCACAGATAGAAGAGAGATCATTTAAATCCTAAGCAAGATTACCTCCACAGACAGGAGAGAGATTATTTACATCCCAAGCCAGATTACCTCCACAGACAGGAGAGAGATTATTTAAATCCAAAGCAAGATTACCTCCATAGACAGGAGAGACGATCTTCTAAATACCAAACAAGATTACCTCCACAGATAGAAGAGAGATCATTTAAATCCTAAGCAAGATTACCTCCACAGACAGGAGAGAGATCATTTAAATCCAAAGCAAGATTACCTCCATAGACAGGAGCGATGATCTTCTAAATACCAAACAAGATTACGTCCACAGATAGGAAAGAGATCATTTAAATCCTAAGCAAGATTACCCCCCACAAACAAGAGAGATGATCTTCTAAATTCCAAACAAGCTTGTCGCTACAGACATAGGGGATGATCTTCTTAATCCCAAACAAAATTACCTTCACTGATAGGAGAGAGATCATTTACATTCTAAGCAAGATTACCCCCACAAACAGGAGAGATGATTTTCTAAATTCCAAGCAAGCTTGTCGCTACAAACATAGGGGATGATCTTCTTAATCCCAAGCAAGATTACCTTCACAGACGAGAGTGATGATCGTCTAAATCCTAATCTCCATATACAGGAGAGTGATCATTTAAATCCAAAGCAAGATTACCTCCATAGACAGGAGAGTAGTCATTTAAATCCTAAGCAAGATTACCTCCACAGACAGGAGAGTGATCATTTAAATCCAAAGCAAGATTACCTCCATAGACAGGAGAGAGGTCATTTAAATCATAAGCAAGATTGTTTTCACAGATAGAAGAGAGATCATTTAAATCCTAAGCAAGATTACCTCCATAGACAGGAGAGTGATCATTTAAATCCAAAGCTAGATTACCTCCATAGACAGGAGAGTAGTCATTTAAATCCTAAGCAAGATTACATCCACAGACAGGAGAGTGATCATTTAAATCCAAAGCAAGATTACCTCCATAGACAGGAGAGAGGTCATTTAAATCATAAGCAAGATTACCTCCATAGACAGGAGAAAGATCATTTAAATCCCAAGCCACATTACCTCCACAGATAGAAGAGAGATCATTTAAATTTCAAGCAAGATTACCTCCACTGACAGGAGAGAGATCATTTAAATTTCAAGCAAGATTACCTCCAAGATAGGAGAGATATCATTTAAATCCTAAGCAAGATTAACTCCAAAGATAGAAGAGAGGTCATTTAAATCCTAAGCA